CCATCTACACACTGACTCAGGTCAACCAGACAACATCTCGGACAACGTACAGTTACAACGTACACTACTTGGCATCAAAAGGTCATTAGGGGACACCAAGAAAGCACGACTCCCTATCACTATGAACATTCTAAGACGCCTGAAAGAATCACTCCGAACGCACCCATCTATCCACACAAATGACAAACTCATGCTATGGTCAGCATTTACGGTCGCATTCTTTGGATTCCTAAGAGTCAGCGAATTTACATTTTGACAAAACCCATACCTTACTTATCGAAGACATATCATGTGCAATTGAGCTACATGTCCAGTTACGTGCCTCCAAAACAAATCCATTCATGGCTGCATCGTCAAAATTGCACCTTCATTCACCTCAGTCTGTGCAGTTCGTGCGTACACCAAGTATCGCAGCATCCATGCCCCATCACCCCAAACACCAGCCTTCCAGTTCCACTCAGGGAGTTGGCTTACACGACAAAGCCTAACTACCCACTTGCATGACCTGTTGACTTGAGCTGGGATCCAAAATCCACACCTGTACACAACCCACAGCTTCAGACGAGGGGCAGCGACAACCGCAGCAGAACCAAACGTGCCAGATTGGTTAATCAAGACTCTAAAAAGATGGCGAAGCAACGCATACCAAGTGTATATCAACACGCCTTCGTCAACGCTACAAGCCGTGCCTCCCATCCTCTGCGGACATTCATATTAGACACCTCCTCCTATCACCTTGTGGATTCGCAACTTCACGTGACTCTCCCGCTGGCATTTCGTTTGCCACATCTATGTACTTGTGCTATGCCGTGGTGCTACCTTTGACCATCCAACTTTGTACCCGATCATTATTACATCGTTACCTTTATTTACACAAACTATATTTTGCTTCGGACATTTACCTTGACATGTTTGCATCATTTACTTCACTTTCCGTCATGACCACCACCGCTGTATTTTACATATCACAAGCAACATCACATTTATGTACTTTAATGCTTCACAATTCCCAGGTTCATTGATACCAATTTCTTGGCTTGCTTGTCGCTGCGCCACTCCCGGCCATCTCATAATTTGGGGGTTGTCATTGCAGTGCATGCGAGCACCACTTGATTAACCATTCTTCAGTGAATAGAGTCAAACATGCGACTCTGTGCACGGAAATGGTATCTGCAACGACGGTCGGGTGGTGACCTCTACGTTGACTGGCCTCGATCAAGTACTATGCTAATCTCTCCGTGATGTGAATCACATCTGCGACTCACATCACTGAGCAGGTTTCGGCGACGACGCTTGGCCGTGGCTCACACCCCTTCTGCTCTCAGCCAAGACCTTGTCTCTAGTTTCGTTTCTTAGCATTAAATTAGAATATACGGTTAGAAGTTCTCTCCCATGATGCATTGCATATACAATGTACCGGTATGTGTGGTAAAATGCTTAGTAGTGAAAAATTTGAATTTGGTGTGAACTA